TATGGCAAGGGTGAAAGTCCACGAAGCCCATATAAAACCTTCTGTTCAAACTGAGCCACCAATAGAACCAGAAGAAAAGAAGCCAGATGTACTTTCAATAACGAACCAAGAGGCTTATTGCAAAGTTCGTGAATTTCATTGAAAAACAAACCGAGTCAAAGAACCCTGACCCACCAGTGAAAGAAGTTGAGACAAAAGAGAATGTACAGTTCATTGAAAAGTTAAGAAACAACTTCCACCACGAATGCCAAGAAGAAGAGTGAGAATAATGAAGTAAATAGATATTTTTATCTGAAGTAAATACATGCAGAACGAACAGTTAAACGAATTTACTCCAGCAGAGCATATTCATCAGATTCGCTCATATTTCGATATCATAGACAATGCAGTTCAAATTGGTGACACTAATAGAAATATTCTGACGCAAAGATTCCATCACAACCTGGAACTGCTAAAGATAACACATGGGTAAATTCAATCTCTCACCTCCTGGTGAAAATATGTTGGACCTTTACAATACATTCATTACGTATAAAATTGAAGGTCAATTTATTGTAGATAAAGAAATTGGTTCAGGTTCCAATAAAACAAACACCAGGATTTTGGATTGGTTTCGATGACGCTTTCTATGAGTTGCTGGATATCAAATCCTTGCAAAATGGTCGTATCGTATATTCTCAAAGACAACGCAAGAAGAGAAGCATATATAACTTCAAACTCACAAACTACCGAACAAATAAAGAAAGTAGATGTTTTCTCAAAGACTCGACATGAAGATGTATGGAGTCATTCGGGAACATGCAGAACAGGACAAATTGTTAGTGGTCCAATTACAGCAGGAAAATCATTTGATTTTAAGCTTCGTTTAAGAATTCCTGTTAGAAGATTCCTTCCATTAGAAACTATTCGATTTATTCCAGCTTTTGCAGGAAACATTCAGCTTAAAGTAAAGTTCAGTAGCGACGCCTTACAATGCACATCTATATCTGTAAATGATATCATTGCTTTCAATCCAACTCTTAAAGTTGCATTTGCTTCAGATTCAAATCCACCGACAAATAAATTTGTTCCATGGAATGAACCATTCACTATGATAACGAAGGCAGTAGAAGCTAGTGGAACAGTTACTATTACAACTGTAACCCAGCAACTATTTCGAACAAAGATGGATTTTAATGAATGTTTCATTCATCCAAAGTCATTCTCTTTAGACCCTAACATTTTATACAGAACTTGTAGAACATTATACAAACGAGGCTTTATGTTTTCCTGTTAAAGTTATGGATTGGATTCCTATGGACGGTTCATTCTCAAAGAATACAGATAGTTCAAGTGCAATATTTACAGCAGCTTATACGCCTATTAATGTTAAAAGTATTTGGGCACTATTTAGAAAGAAAGACAACTATTATGTTAATTTTGAGAACCCTAAGTTTAAATATCTTCAGCTTTCCATGGGAGCTTATGGAAATATGCCTGCAGAACCTGAAAAATCATATGGACCTGTATTTTATGAAATGGTTGCGAACGCTTGCAATACAAACAATGATATGATAGGATTTAATGAAGATGTTATGAGGTCATTGGTGGATGATGGTAGTGTGGAACATAAATGGGATAGCTATGACAACACACATTTCTTATGTGGTTTTCCAACAGAAGTGGACTTTTGCTTCCAGCAAGGTCAAACATCTACTGCTCCAATAACATACAAATTGTCTGTTAAAGGACCTATTGAACTAGCAACTGAAAACGTACCAAAGCCACTTATTGGATTTATGAGGGATTGTTGCTTTGCCATTCAGGTGCGTGCTAATGGAATCCCAATAATAAGATTAGATGACTATAACTTAGCTACGGACGACAGTGAGGAATAAAGGATGAACGTTTATTTTTTAAAGCTTATAAATGAGTTCTTCATCAAGCTCTCGTGAACCTTCACCATCTATGAAACAAACTTTACCAAACGATTATGGAGCACCTATTGAATATTTCTTACGAGCTGCACAATGGCAAAGAGCAGTCTCACCAAGGTTAGGTGTTCCACCAGCTCCTGTCAAAAATAGCATTTGGTCAAGTCCTTATATAAGATATGGTCTCCCACTAGTTTTGCTAGCTACAGCAGGAGCAGTTATGATGTTGAAAAGAAATAAAGCAAATGTTGTAAATAATACTGAAGTAGCTGAAGTTAACAAACTCCAACACCTTCGCAAAACCAACGCCTTCACAAGCAAAACCTTCAATGACTCCTGAACCTATGGAAGTACAAACTCCTGTTCAAAAGTCAACTCCTAAACCGACTCCAACATTTAAACCAGAACCTACTCCTCAAATAAATCGTAAAACTCCTGCGTTTCCTTACTGAAAAAATAACGTTATTTTTTATTTAATATTAAAATTTTTATTTAGAGTAAAATGACAAATAAAGTCACTGAAGCAATGAAACAAAAGTTTTTGGTAGAATACATTAAATCAGGAACTATTCCAGAAGGTTTTTACATTCATACTATGAAGGATGGTAGAGTTCAGTTTAGAAAGATAAAGCAACCATTAGATAGAGAAGGAATTTTGAGAAAGATTAAACTTCATGAGGACAACATTGCCGAACTTAAGAAGAAGTTAGAAGAGTTGGAGAAAGGAAGAGAGTTATAAAGCAATGAATTCAACAGGGTGAAAAAACAGGTGAGAAAACGGGTGAGATCTCACCACTTCACCTAAATTTATTTTTGTGCTATGTTTTCATACGTGTGAGGGTGGTGAAATCATTAATTTTTATTGTATTTTATTTTTTACTGAAAATTTTTATTTGGATGTAAATGACAGAACAAAAGCAACTCATTCGAATTCCACAGTATAACAAACATACATTTAAACATTTATTCTTCCTTCCTGAGCATAACATGTTCTTTCAAATACATCCGAGACCAGTTGACTTTTCATTGACTGTGTATAAAGATAGAAATAGTTATATCATTAAACCATATGATGACGAAGGTAAGTTATGTAAATTGTACGTTAAGAAGTTAGAGAAAGTTTATGGCTTCAAGTATGACTACAATAGGGTTAACACTGATGATGAAGATATTGAGGAAAATTTATGAGAACATTAGTGAAGTCGTTAGTGAGAACGATAGTGAGAACGTTTATTTTTTACATTAGTGAGGTGAAGTGGTTGGTGGCTTTGTAAATATTTAAGGTTAAGTTAGTGTTGTCGTTTGTGTTGCAAAATATACGTTAACGGTTTTGTAAAGTGTCAAATTCACAAGTATTGGGTAAGGAGGCGCGCAGTGCCTCCGTACCCATGACTTGTATACTAACTTTTCTTACAGTATCTTACGTTTAAATCACCAATTCTAACCACTTTGGTGTCATTGTCAATCTTTCTAACTGTTTCAAACTCAATGTTTGACATTACTGTCTATACATACAAGATAAAAATTTTTCTTAGAAAAAAATTAGCGTTATTTTTCTAACTAATGAAATTCATGAAATTTGGTCATTTTTCAGACAAAAATAATGTTTAGGGTAGAAGGGTAGATCTACCCTCATTTCTACCCTCATTTCTACCCCAGTTATTTTATAAACGTTTCACATGGTAAACGTTATGAATTCGTGAGACTCTAAACAGTTTTGTAGCTTCTATTTCTTCGCTGAGGATATCAAAAATTTTAACAATGCCGAAAGTTTCTTTATACTTCTTCTTGACGTCAGACAGAAGGAAATCTTCTGCTGTTGGATAGTTTTTATTAAGAAATGTCAACATATCCATTTTATCTTCTGCTGGCTTTTCTGCTTCTTTCTTTAAGTCTGCATAGTCGTTTCGCATTCTTTCTATCTCTTTGACTGAGTAGTTATATTTCCTCATTGCTGCTTTACATTTAGAACATTGCGGGTTCATTTTTGCGTTATATTCTGAAACCTTACCTGCTAAAACAACCAAGGCGTCAATGGTTTTCTTTAAATCTGAAGCAGTTGGTTTTATCTGTTCATGCCATACCTTACCTCTTCTATCTTTATCTCTTATCTGCCAAACACATTTTGCAACTAATGAAACAAAGTTGTCGTATGTCTTAAACTCCCCAGATTTATATATGTCAGAGATGTTCTTATATACCATGTCGCAATCTTTGTCCATAACTTTATGGTTGCAATGATATCCTAGAAACTCATAGTTTACTTTACGTATGAACTTCTTTATTTCTACTAAGTCAGTTGGTTTCACTTCTATTTCATCGAATTCAGGAATAGTTAGTTTTTGCTGCTGAATTTCAGGCAATTTGGGTAAATGGTCGATGAGGTCCTCCATTTCATATAGATACTGTTCATTTGTTTCATCCTGTGCGGTACAGTCTAAATTACTTGTTAAAAGTTCTTGCTTTATCTTCTGGATTTCTGTTTCAAAAGTATATGAAGAAGGAATAAAGCTTTTCATCTCTACCAACATTGACGTAGGATTCATGACTAGCGAGTTTGGTGCTGTTGTTTGAATTGTTGTTGTGCCGATTGTTGAAATCATATCTTTTATACAAAATAAAAAGTTAGAAAAAAATAAAACTAACTTTATTTTTTCTGTCTTAAGGAAATTCATGAAAATTCGTGAGGGTAGAAATGAGGGTAGAAATGAGGTTAGATCTAACCATCTACCCTAAAAATTATTTTTTGGTCATTTATGACAAAAATAAATGGTTCATTTACTCACAATATTTTTGTACAAAACGACCCCAAACTTTTAACTTCTTTTCTGCAGTTTCTAATGCTATCTTAGCGAGTTCAGATTCTCTAAATTCTCTCTTTAAATCTTCTTGTTCCCATTGGTCTAGTTCGTATGGAGAATCTCTATAACCATAACATATCTCACGTTCATGTTCTAATTGTTTTTCGCGCATTTTTCTAACTTCTTGTTCGAACAAAGGTTTAGCATTCTCTACTGTATCTTCAAGTTCTTCTTCATCTAATTTCTCATGAACTTTCTTGTCTATGGAGTCCATAATATCTTTGACATAAAATGCATACTTTACAGAGCACCATTCAGCAACAAAATGAACGAGGTCAGGATGTATGTAAATACCTTTGAATTCATTTATAACACCCTTAGTAAGCTCATAAAATGCTTGTTTTGAGGTCGAGCCACTTTTGGCTCGACCGTATTCTTTCAACCAAAACTCAAGAATTTCCTGCATTTTAGCACTATTGAGAAATCTGTTTAAATGGTTTAACTTTCCTGCTTCTCTTGCCATCTTTGTTGCATTAATGTAACCATCCTTGTCTCTACGTAAGACTTCAATACCGTTATAAGTGCCTTTTGTGAATGTTTCGCCATTAGATTTGTTCGTGAATGTTTTTGCTTCGACTGACATTTCTGTTCTTACATACAAAATAAAAAGTTAGAAAAAAATAAAACTAACTTTATTTTTTCTGTCTTAAGGAAATTCATGAAAATTCGTGAGGGTAGAAATGAGGTTAGATCTAACCATCTACCCTAAACATTATTTTTGTTCATGGGCTATGCCCCGCCGCTTTGCGTCTTAATGTTAAAATAAATGGTACCATTAATGATATCATGACTGTTCTCATTCATGTCTGATTTACATCTAATGAAAAAGTTTAGAAGAATTTTCTTATTCTTTCTGGCTTATTTTTGTCTTTCCAGTACTCCCGCTCTAATGGTCCCAGATGTGTTGACTTTGACTCTCTCAAGTTCTTAGATGGTATAACATCTTCAACGCCTCCTTCATATTTACTTTATAATGTCATCGTTTATGTTATAGCAAGTATTTCAATAACCACTCGCTTTGCTTCGTCAATGGTTTCAGCAAGTTTGCCATTACTACTTTCGACTAATTTATGTCGAGGGTAAAACGCAATAGAGTCGGCAGCTTTTATAAGATATCCATTACCTTGCGTAGAGTCTACGATATAATAGTTTCTACTTAACCTTAAACGTTCTTTGTCAACGGTTTGTTGTCAAGAACTACACGAACTTTTGTACCAGGAATGAGGGTAAATGCGTTGAATTTCTGATATTTTGTGTTTGCTTCGTTTCTTTTGTATATACTTTTCTTGTTGTTGTGTCATTGAATTTGGTGTATGTCCTGTTGTAGAATGTGTTGAGGATTATATACTTCGAGAAATGTTTCATTGTTTTTCGGTAAAGTCTCGCTCTTGGTTTAAATCTCTGAGCGTTCTTATGAAGCGGTTTATGATGCCGAGTATGTTATGTTATGGTCTTCAGTAGTGTAGTGAGTTATGTTATGCTTAATGAGAAATTCTGTGATTTCATTGTGAGGTATGCCTGTCTTGGTCTGATGTTAAAGTACTTGGGCTATGTTCTGCTACAAACTTTTGTAAAACTCTTAAACTTCACGAGTTCCTTTATTTTTCATTGGATATGCATATGCTTTACGAGTGTTAACATTAATGAAGATGAGGAATGGTTTATGTCCTCCTTTTCTGCTTTGAATGAGAGTGTCAAATTGGTATGCGTCAGGAGTGTTGGAGTAAATTGGTAAAAAGTAGTCGTAAGGGTTTATTTTTGTTTGATGTACAACATTTTTGTCAAAGAACCTTTTCACTTCAGCTCTGTTAGTAAATCCCCAACTCTTTGCAGCTTCATTGAACTTCTTAAATGACCTCCATGGATGTTGTTCGAATACTTCTTTCAAGCTCATTTATGTAAAGTTAAAGATTTTATTCTAGGCTCAAGCGCGTTCATTGAACTCTATACCATGCGAATACAGTCATAAATGGTGGCATATAATCTGCACCCGAGCCTGTTGGATTTGTTGTGAAAGTGTGTGAATGATTTCCTGTGGTTCCACAGAAAATACCTGCGCTTGAATCTACTGGGTCACTTGAAATATCATATCTATGCATTCCCTGTCTATCCGAACCTGCTGCAAGATTTGTATAACCTCTTTTTGTTATTGAATGTGAATGACTACCTGTTGTGTTTGTAGTTCCTGTATGAGTGTGCGGTGGAAGGTTTACTTCTTTAATTTTCTTCGAACCACCGGCTTGTTTTGAATTATTAGTACAATATAAGAATTTATCTACAATCTGCTGCCACGTACCAAAACCTAAAACACTTGCCGGATTTGTTGAGTTCATTGACGTATAAATAGAGCCTATAGGATATAATGTTTGAAGTATTTCAGTCTTTAATGTTTGAAGCTCTGTTTTGTCAGCTTTAAGGTCTAAACATCCTGAAACCCATTTTGTATCAGCTTTAACTTTAAAAGTCTCAAATGTCCATTCATGATACCATTCAACCTTTTCTTTAATTTCATTAGCTTTTTCATCAACATAAGTTTTATCTGCTTTCTTATCATATAAATCTTGAGCAGTGAATTTAACATTATTTTCATCATCCATGACATAAACATTTTTACAGCTAATTTCTTTCTTCGTTGTTATGTTTTCATTCGATGTTAAACCTTGTGGAAAGTTAGGAGGTTTATAATATAATGCATCCCCACCAGTTCCGCCAACCGTTCCTTCAATACTTTCTATAGCAACAGTTGAGAAGGAGTTATGTGTATGTTCTTTATCTGCTTTTTTATCTAACATTGCTGGTAGTTCATGTGTTTCAAAGTTTCTGACATGACTTTCAATGTTCATACATTTACTATTTAAGGAGTTTAGTGTATCTTTTACGCTTGTACTTGGATTCTCTAAAGGTGCACTTGAACCAAGGGTATAGTTCAATATTATGTCGTCTGCTCTAACAGTAGTGAAGGATTCATGTGTATGGTTCTTGTCAGCTTTACTATTTAATGTAGCTTGAAGTTCATTTATATCGGAGATATTGTGTTTATGTGATTTCAAAACTTTGTTCGTTGCGTCAAGTTCATCTTTGTCAGCTTTACTTTTAATAGCATCTTCAAACGTTATTTTTGCCTTAACTCTCAAAGTAAATCTTGGTTCAACTAATACACCGTTAACAAAGAAGTATGAAGCATATATTTCATCGTTATAACTAAATGCTTCTGGTGCTTTACCCGTGTCATACTGTACAGTACAGCTTATGTCATAACCTTCAGCACGAATGTATTTATATCTTCTTTCATTGGGGTCTTCCGTCTTCACTTTTTCTTCAGTTCGTGTTAAATATCCATGGTAGTCCGTTATAATCTGTTCATCTGAACTTATATAATGAACATGGTTTTTATCTGCTTTTTCGGCTAATTTCTCATTAACATCATTCACTTCTAATTCAACTCTTCCGCCAGAACTCTTATTATCATTAATCTTTTTCATTAATTCGGTAATTACGTCATAAAGACTATATTCTGTTTTCGGTTTTGTAAATAATGAGTCAAAATTTCTTTTCATCATTACATCGCTGACATTAATGATATCACCAATTCCTTTTTCATTTATTCTCTTCATTAATTCTGCAATAATGACGAATATATAATCTGTTAATTTATTCTCTTCATCGAGGGTTATAGAATGTTTTGAAATTGAATCATTAACTCCTCTAAATAAATCAATAACTTCAGGATACACGTTTTTAATGTCTCGAATAACCCGACCAGTATCCTGTTGTTCATGTTCTTCGTTCCCGTCGTTACGTGGTTTTATATCTCTAACCATCATCAACGCAGCCATAACCGGAGGGTTTGTTGCTATCTGTTCGAAAATCTGTCCGTTATGTACGGTATATCTAAATAATTTCTTTGTGTTTGTTAAAACATTTGAAACAAGTCTTTTAAAACCATCTACAAAATTTCCTGTTTCACCTAATGTTCTTGCAGCATTTACAAGCTCACCCATATAGATCCGTATTTTTCCCAAGTGAGCGGGGTATCTCCAATCCCAGCCCTATCGTCCTCCCAGTGTCAGTTTTCAATATAAAATCCAAATTTTTTTTGAAAATAAAAATTTCGAGAAATTTTTCTGATTTTTTTTCTTTGATTTCAATAATTCAAAATAAATTTGGGAGTAAAAAGACACTATTTAATGAAATTCATATGAGTGAATGTGGATAAATACTCTCAAAACATACAATTTATCTATTTTTTCTTTATATTATCAACTAATTAGTGATAATTTTTTTTGAATCAGATTTTTTTTCATTAAAAACATAATATATAACACAACAATGATGCACACATACGTATCTACACATCAAAATATAAAGCTTGTTTTGGTCTGGGCATCCCAACCCAAAATTCTTTAAAAATTGAATAAAATTGAATACTTGGGGCTGGGATGCCCATCCCAAAACCGAATTGAATTTTTTGAATTAAAGAATATATTTATGTATTTATAATATACATGTGATGTCTATAAAAAATACTAAATTCTAAAAAAAAATCAATTTATTCAAAACGTATACTAAGTGATCACTTCATTAGTAGGATCAGCAATCCTACTAAATGGTGAGAACGCCACTAACTAAAAAAGGAGTCCTTGGAGCTCTTGATCTCTTGTCAGTAGAGTTCATAATGAGGCATGGCATCTACTGATTAGAGATCAGAGCAATCCTACCTTACCTTCAGGAGCTACAAAGCTCCTAATCGTTACGAGAGGGAGTCTTGGAGCTCCTGAAGCTCATCAGCAGAGGCTATTTACCATTTGGGCCTCTTCTGATGAAAGATGCGAAACACGTCTACGAACCAGGAGCTTCAAAGCTTCTAATCCTTACTAAAGGGAGCTTTGGAGCTCCTGAGTCTCCATCAACAGAGTCCCAGATGGTAAATGTCCTTTGCTGATGAAAGATGCGAAACACATCTACGAACCAGGAGCTCCAAAGCTCCTAATCCTTACGAAAGGGAGCTTTGGAGCTCCTGAAACTCCTTTTACTATAAAATATGACAGTTTTCTTCTGAGGTTCTCATCAAATCTAAGACTTCAGAAGAAAGCTGTCCTATCAATGTATACTTACACTCTCATGGACTACAAGTGTACAATTTTAAAGCAGAGATTATCCGAGGCCTCTCATCAAATGAGGGACCTCGGATAATCTCTACCTTAAGTAGTCAAATAACTTTTCTCACTATTTAGGAACAAAAGAACAAGAGTTGGAGTACTTTAAGGCAAGATTCTTCCGAAATCTCTCATCGAATGAGAGACTTCGGAAGGACCTTGCCAAATCCTTGAACGCCAATATCCTTGGAACTGAGCTAGAACCAGGGAGAAGTAGCATACTATAGAGCACGATGGTAATCTCGGAAATACTTATATCGCCCCAAGCACAATATTTAAGAAGTCTAACTCATATATACAAGAAGTCAGGCTGAATAGATATTGTGCATATGGTTTGCAGAACTCTCATGATATTTAAAATTCATGTTATCCCAAAAAAGGTGACACTTTGGGTGTATCGTCCATCCCAGGGATGCAAAAATCACATCACCTTGGATCTATACTCACCCATTCCCGCTTTTGACCCCAAAAACGTCCATATTGCATTTATTTCACTCTGTATAGTTGTCCATTCAGCGAAACTAACACCCGCATTCGCTAAGCTGAAAATGAAATTCAGTGGATCGAACTTAATTCCACCTTCTTTTTCAATTTCAACGAACTCACTAACATGAGATTTTAAGTATTCTTTCGTTAAAATTGTTTTCCCCGATGTTATGTCATTAACGAAACTATCACCGTCAAAAGTTAACGAATTCAATTTCGTCGTTGATGCTTTTATTTCATACACCGCTTTATCGATAGTTTTTGGCTCACCTTCTTTAGAAGCATATGAAACATTAATGAATGAATTATATGTATTCGTGAATGAATTAAAATCAATGATTTTCATTAATGACGCCTTTAATGATTCATTTACTGTCGAATCCCTTAAAGCAATTACTGAACTGTCATTAATGAAAGGTACACTACAAACCGTCGAATTTGGATCAAATGCTGTAGTTGGTGCAGGAATATTAATGATATAAGTCATTAAATCATTAAGTGACGTAAATAATGTTGTCGTTTTTGATTTAATTTCTTTAGCATCTGTTATATACGGTAATTTTATTTCTGTAGTTTCTGAATTAAAGATATTCGCTAAAATGTTTTGTAAACTGTTTTGAACAGCTGTGTAAACCGTTGAATCCGGAACTCTTACGATTTCACCGTCCTTAATAAAAGGCATTGCACATGGTGTAGTGCTTGGGTCAAATCTTTTTGGGTTATGATTCAACATATATTCTAATGCTTTATAAACAGACCTATATACGGTTGTATTATCTTTTTCAATAATTTCACCGTCCTTTATAAACGGCATAGTACATGGAGTTAAAATAGGGTCAAACTTTTCATAGTCCTTCCATGTTATGTATTTCTCAGTATTTCCATCAGTGATAACAATATATTTGTCAGTAAGTGTGAGAGAGTATTGACCAAAATATAAACGTTTAGCTCTGTCAGCTTCATACGCATATGCAGCTATACTCATATTTTAATGAGAATAAAATGTTGTTCTATTTGCAAAGTACAGACCCAAACGAATACGGGACAGTAAAGCTACAAACAAACTTAGGTCTACAGAATGAGGCGCTTGCATTCAGAATGGTTGACTTCAATACTATCGCTTCATTCGTTATAACAGATGAAACAGATTTCATGGAGATTGAAATAGATGGAAAGAAGCACGAAATAAGATTTCACAATAATGTAGAATATAAGATGGAAACATTAGCTGGAGTGTTAAATGCTCTCATAAATACTACAATAAACAAGGATAACGAAGAAAACTTAATGAATGTTAAACTTATTGCAGGAGTTTTGAAGTTCAGTTATGCGAAGGAGTTTAAGATACCAAGAATGAGTCATAGAGTACAACTTCTTTTGGGTGCATACCATATGACATTTCCTTTGAAAAGTGTTGACAAAACGATTGAGATGAAATCTGTTCCATACGTATGTTATGGTAATTGTTTATACATTGAGTCTAAAATAGCTAATGTCACAGGCATTTCAGGAGTTAATAGTAAAGGTTCAGTAGAATATAAATCCTTCTGTTATGCAGTCAATTCAATGTTCATTCCAAACGTTCCTGTCATAGCAACTCATTTAGGTAAATGGGTTCGCATTAGTCCTCATAATTTGAAAGACATGCAATTCAGACTTGTTGACTTTCAAGGAGAGCCTGTAGAACTGAAGGCACCAGTGCGAATGACTGTTGAAGTTGACTTTTTAGAAAATATTAAATGCAACAGCTTACAAGAGAACTCAGAGCTAAAAATATAAAGTATGAATGTTATGTATTAGGTCATGAACTTTGGTTGTTGCTGTTTGATGAAACAAATGAATTAGTTATGTCAGTCAAGAGAACAGAAAAATATTGTGTTAGTGAAAACTGCACCAAGTCAATAAGATTAGGTTTGCATTATGAAGATGAGTTCAATAGTGTTGAAGAAGTTTTGGACAGATACTATAAGTTGTTAACTTGAAATTTTTTTGACCGACGGCGCAAAGCGCCAAGATGGGCTCAAAGAGCCCTCCTGACTGCTTTAATTTACTAAAACATATTTCAAACAAAGTTTATATTCTGTTGAAAGTTTTGTATATTCGTTCGAATATTTATACTTAAACTCAACTCCTGTAGTTCCTGGTGTTTCAATGATGCGGATGTTACCTATTTTCATGAATAGTGGAGTTTGACCACAGCATTCGATTTCAGGGTCGAGATAGTCAATGACACATTGTTTCCCTGTTATTCGTGAGATAACATTTTCAAGGTCCTCCTTTGTTAGAATTATTTGGTTCTTACTTATAAGATTTGTCAAAAGCTTCTTATCGTCTTTGAGTAAAATTGTTTGGTATAACTGAAGAAGGTAATGGTCTACGTTATCTGAAGGATTTGTTTGAACATTTGTGTAAGGATTGTCGTTGGCTTCTCTTGAAAGAATTTGGTCCAGTGGTGGATACTCTAACTTAACATCTGATGTAGCGTTAGCGTTTGAAGCTGTGTTTAAATTCACGGCGCCATGCTCCAAGACCGAAGGTCCCGACTTAAGTTCTGGTTCTTTTTCTTTCAAACACTCTGAACTATAGTTCTTTATGACAATATTGTTTGTCGTTCGTGAGTCAACATTTGATGTTGGTTCAATTGGAACATTAACGGCACCAGCTAAGATGGATTTGCTTCTCATTTCATATAGAATAAAAACCTTTTATATGTATGAAATGAACAATATACTCGACAAGGGTTTGAATGTAAAGCTAACGAATGAAAATATTGTTGAATTCACTGAGACAGGTGCTGTGTATAAAGATGTAGAACTACTGAACAAAAGAGCTAAGGGAAGAAGCAGGAACATGAACAAAGGGTGGAAGCCTATAAAAATTTATGTCAACGATGGCTCAGGAGGTTCAAACATAAAGTATGCAGAAAGTTATAGAGTTTATGCTCTCAAAGGTGAAAAGCCTTCATTTAAGAACAGCTATTCTAACGCATATCCTCAAAAGCTAACGGATGGGGAAGTGGATGATATGAATGACAGCAAAAATATTAACAGAAATGGCGACAGAGATGCATGGAATTTGTTTACCATCAGTCAATTGAAGGTTAAACTTTAAAACAATGTTGGTCGTTCCCATGGAATATTTTTGACTTTAATGGTATTAGTCATGATATGAATCTCAAGGTATGAACGAGGAGAGATGAGAGACTTATATGCTTCCCAAATTTCTTCAAAAGGTAATGTTATACCTGACTGTTTCCAAATGAGTTCAATGTCATAGCGTGAGAAACCTTGAAAGATAACGAAGTCAGTTATGAGACGTTTTATGTTTAAAGCTAAAAACCTCCATGTTTGCATAAGTA